AAACACGAACAATTTTAGTCAATATTATAATTTAATAGCTCCAGGTTTATCAGCATTTAATAACAAAGTGTGCTTTATATGAAATTAGTTATTTAGGCGTATTACACTCTCTTTCTCAGTGAGAAAACAAAATCCTGCCACAAAATAGTGATACACTACTTTATTGAAAGCTCTTATCTTTATTCCTAGGGCGTAATAATTTAAGTAGCGTATAGCTTGCGATGCGACTATAGGTATTTTATATATTTGCAACATATAGACATGTCATTCATGAGATTTTTTTATTATCTGCAGTTGCTGTATAACTGATTAAGGAATAAATGATAAATATATTCAAAATTAAATAAGATGTAACGCGTTTGATTAAATGTGTGTGTTTTATATTTAGTAAATCTGAAATCACCAAAAAAAAATCAATAGAAATATTTATTGAAATCTAACAATTTTGACACAAATCATTATTCAGTAGGGCGCCGCCAATTTATTTCTTTTATAAAATGGTCGGATTCTTTTTTTAAGTTATATTTAGATTGCATATTTTGATCGATTAAAGCGCCTTTAGGTCTGACACTCACATTGATACTTCCATAGACTTACATTATAAGAAATGGTCCCTAATCCTACCTTAAAATTGAGTTGTCATGCTAAAGAGGTGATTTTCTAGCAGAATGAAATGCCTGACACATAAAAATATTCATGTTATATAGTTGTAGCCAACCAAATATTTTGCAAAATGACTTCAAAGAGGAAGACTTCATTGAAATTTTCTGCTGATCACAGGACTGACATACACTTTTTATAAATGCAAATACCCAAGTCAAAAATATCATAGATACTCATGAAATATTTCATTTTCTTCAGAAAACAATGTAGTGTTACTTTTTAAATTAGTTTTTATACTTAAAAATATCCCATTCTCATCCAATCACCTCATGTATAAAGTGATTCATACGGTTTTCCCTGCACTTTTTTCAGCCAATCGCTGGCCATGTTACAATGCGATACCCTGACCTTTACAATTCAGACTGATTTTATTCCAATAGTTGTCTGTTGTAGAAAAATCATTATGTACTTAAATACCGATTGTTAAAGAGACTCCACTAAGGTTTCTTTGGCATGATGGGACTGAAAATATTTTCCCCAGATAAATGTACTATTTTATGTTAAGACCTCTGTTCATTGGGCAAAAGTCAGACCATTCGCGCACTTCGTTTTTCCAGAGTTATTATTCAAATCGTAAAAAATCACACTTATGCGTTTAAACGCTTTACACTCAAATCCGGCTAAAATGTATAAACATACGATTTTCTATTTATTTCAAAGTACATTTCGAACTACCTTCGCATATATTTCTGTTTAAAGTGCCGCAGCTCTTTTATTTAAGAAATTTAAAAGTTATGTTTTTAGGTTTTTAAACATCAGTTGAGTCCCTTTAACTTTAACATAAAACATTTCTAATCCATTTTTTCATGATAAAAAAGAACAACATAATTCATATCAGAAAAAAGCAATTAATTAGAGATTAAAAATAGTGGTCAGAATATATGGAAACACTCGGTAAAAGTACGTTGAATTCCACCAATTAATTCAGATAGATAGTATAGTATTTAGTAAAGTGCATTTACTTATTATTTCAGATGTGATTCATTTATTTAAACTTGAATCATGATTGTAATTAAATCAAACAGATTTCCGCGTCTAAGGTACCACCGGATTCATATTAGACCAATTTGAATTAAAACCGTTACAATACATTCCATTTTCAGATTAGTTGCACAATGAAATAACTATTCCGAAAAAGGGAATGAGTAATTGATCTGAAAATTTACATTAGATTTTCAGTAAATAGTATACAAATCTCGGACATATATTTCATGGCAATTACTTTGGAAGAGTCTTTTAAATCGCTGGATAAAATAGAATGTGCGTAAACTTTCAAGAGCGCCGGAAATGGTAAAATTAACAATGAAGCAGGCTTGGATTGACTGAACCTGTTCCTTGTCAGTTTTGGTGATACCAAGCTAACGTACACGTACCCCCACCCCTCTCCCTAACATCAGGCTTAAGCGGATTTCAAATTATTAATTTAAGAAAAAATGACGGAATTTTGAATTTAGATACAATAACAGATTTGTTGATAAGTGAAGCTTCTACGAGATTCTACAGTTTAATGAGATCAACAGTTGGTGTATAATAATGTGGACCATGCTCTTTTAAATGTTTAAATGACACTATAATTATTCACAAAGTGTACAGTACAGTTAATACACGTTGGGAACAAGTCGTCTATAAGCCAGACATATCCATGGAAGTAACAAGCTAATGTTTAAAAGGGTACTTCATGCTGGAATTAAGTTCAAATGTTAAGCCACATCACCATGATAAATTCATTCTGCATAAAAATCACCAATACTATCAATACATGTACATACAATGATATAAAATAACGAAACACAAAGTGATATAACGGTATTTCGAGCTGTCATTATTCATCAAAGGGATAAATGTCCGCCACCTCCAGATTTGCCGTAACCCTTTTATAACGGTAAGCACTTTATTCGGATTTAGATAAAATGAAACATGTTTTAATGAATCAAATATAATGATACAATTGTGCTTGTATAATGTGTGTTCACAACAAAAAATACTTGTAATCGCAGATGATCCTAAATATATTAATTGTATCTATTGAATTAAAGGTTAAACGTATATACATGCAATTAAAAAAATCAAAAGCACTTTAAGGCATCACTTGGGGATAACGTTAAATATTTTAAGTATAAATTAAACAGCTCATACCAAGCTCTATATTTTAAGGATTTTCTGAGAATGCCTAATATTGTGTAATATATAACATACGCTCATGAATGGTTATTGAAACTAGTTTTACTAGTCACATACATTATTTGCATTGTATTCGTTATTTTAAATCCATAAGAGACCATTTGTTGTTGTTGTTCTGTTGTTGTTTTTTTTTTGTTGTTGTTTTTTTGTTTTTTTATTCATATTGTGACATTCTTTCTTGCGTTTGTAAAATATTCTCAAAGACACGTAATAATTCACTGAGGACTCAATATTAATTGATAAATGTGTCTATGTCTAGTTAATCAGAAACGTTCCATAGCGTAGAAAAGTTATTTTGAATATTTCACAGCAATATCTTACAAAAATTCAATAAAACCGGAAGAAAGTAAAAATTTTACATAAACGCACGTTCAATCTTTAATTTAAAAAAAGATTGTGTGTATCGTATAAAGTTCAAATGTGTACTGACGGTTAAAGTCAGTTGATAGTAACTGGTTTAAAGAAACATAGGCTATACAGGCTTAGGTATATTAATTGTCTCAATTCAGATCGTTTAAGCCTAGGTCACAAATAAGAAAATGCCGCCGGGCGGCGTCTGTTTCTCCAAAAAATCGCAATATCGGCCGGCGTCCGGCCGGCGGCAGTGACTATCGGACGGCAGCAGCTGAAAATTTTGCTCATCGGGCGGGCGCCTTCGAGTTTTAAGTAATACTTAAAAGCTAACGGCGGCCGGACGATAATTTTTGGGGTCACTGAGTATAAATATCATCGAACGGACATCGATCGGTCGCCGGGCGGCGACCGGGCGATGATTTTTTGATCGGGCGACTTTTTGTTCTACTAAAACACCGTCCGATTTAAAAGGCGTCCGGGCGGACATCGGCCGGGCCCCGCCCGGTGCCTGAATAGAGACAAGTAGTCAAACGATTATTGCCCGGTACCCGGACGATTCATATACAGGCACCGGGCGGTCATCGTTTTGTCATCCGGCGACAGGGCTGCTTGTGTTTTTGTTATTTCGGCTTGAAGAAGTTGTAATTGCCTCAAAAATATATTTGTGAATTTCTTTTGAATACTAGTAAACATGAATTTTTTCTTCAATGTCCATGCGAATGTCTGATTGATTTTCGCCTTCGACGGCCTCGATACTGGCCGTTGGTGACTCGGTGTCAACAACACGGACCATCTCCTTGGCCTTCCCCTTGGCTTTTGTAGCTGACTTCTTTGCTGGCATAATTACAACTGGCTGATTTATAAAGGATGTCATTAAATGTAAAGTCATTGTCGCCCGGCGCCCGCGCGGCAACCGTCGGTTTCACTTTTAAATCGCACAGGCGCCGTACAGACATCGGGCGGCGACCGCCCGATCCGTTCAATTCCTTCTATAAAATCCATTCTGCAAAAGATCGCCCGACGACTGTTTCATTCATGACCATGCAAGGTATCAGATTTTAAATCGCCCGACGTCCACGACATCAAAAAATCTGCCGAATTTATAAAAATCGTTTAATCGCACGGCGCCCGTTTTATTTGTGACCTAGGCATTAGTGGATGTATATGGGTTAACGCTGTTTTGTTCTTTTTATACATCAATTTGAAAATAATAGATAAAACTTTTTATTCATGCATAAACATTACTGTTATTTTTCTTCAGTTCTTCACAGATTGTCATTTTGAAGTAAATTTGATAATCAATATTATATTGCATTCACGCTATTCTGATTAAAAAATGAACTTCATTTATTTTCATTGGTAACTAATATTTTCCATTTGCATCTGTCTTTTTATATAAAAAATAAATATTGATAAAAGTATTGAACGAGGTTTCAAATTAATATTAACTTTAAACGTTAATATATATTAGTGTTAATCAACCAAACTGTTTAATAACAGTTATAATAAACTGTACACATTTTGAACAAATACCATACTTTACATTTAAAACTGTGTTGGTCACATACACCTACACATATTATAAAAATAGTTCACCAATGATTGAACAGTATTAAGTAATACGATTGACATAATGTGTTAGTTTATCAGTTTTTTCATAACACAAAATAATCAATTTAGCATAATAAAATCGTCATAAATACAGGTTGTTTCAAATATTTATTCAAATATAATGTGTGTGTCGTTTAAAAAGAAACTTTAACCAACTTGAAGTTTAAAATCGATTGTTATAAACATTCGCTCTAAAGGTTTAAGATAATTATATTAGTATTTTATTCAGCGTATTTAGTTGGTCTATATTCGTTAACATAGAAAACTCGTTGTTTAAACAGGTACAAGTATTTAGAACTTATAAAGCGCAGGTAAGAAATTATATTTTTATTATAATTAGTGTTGTTTGCCTCATGTTTCCTTAAGCTCTGCAACGACTTGTCCTGCAAAGCAGTCTTAGTTTCAATATGATTTTGTGCGTATGTTTATATACTGAGTAAGTATTGAAGTAAATTTTGTAATTGTAATACCTGTTACACTTTTTCGATTGGCAGACATATGATCATGTTCATATCTAATAGAATCAGATATTAACTTTTGTTTCTGTTCAATACAGTTTAACATTCTATACTTCTAAGTTTTTACATATTTTTTTTAATTACCTCATAGATGCATAGATATAAACAGTATAGCCGTGAATATAAGATAGATTATCAAACCGGAATGTTTATGAGAAAAACAGTTTCACCCACACACCTTTGAATCAATATAATACCGTATATATAATACACCTGGTCGCTGTTTACCATTGATACTTAACCATCCTATGTGAGCATCAGTCTTTGAGACACTTAATTAATTTGAAGGAATTTCATTTACGCAAATACTTGATTGCAGAGAAAACTAAAACATATATAAACTGTTCAATTGACATAATTTATTTTAAACCGTATGTATGTAAACATCGTGCAAATTATAGATAATTAAAAGAGAACGCAAGTTATCATATTACAATCTAGTTACATAACATAGTTTTTGTTGTGACACATACAAACAACTATTAGAAGTTTCAAGCGTGAGATTATAGATAAAACACATAATCCTCCTTATTTAATTTTATAATTTATACTTATTTAAAGGAACTCCATTGAGGTATCAAAGCCTAAAATAATAAATTTATGAAATCATTTCTTAAATCAACTGGTATATTTAAATTTGAAACCAAGCAATAGATGATGTATGAATATACACGGTATTTAATTGATAATAAATTTTAATGCGATTTTTGGCCGATTTGAATGAAAAGCGTTTAAACGGTTTTCATTTATTGGGCCAATTGCACAATAAAATTGATTATTTCTTGGAAACGAAGTGAGCGAATGATCTGAAATTGTGTACATGAGTTATTGGTCTAGGCATACATCTAGTTATACTAAAGTTTTGAAAAACTATTCCCGGTCATTTCACTTCACAAATACCTCAGTGGAGTCCCTTTAAAAATAGTTTCAATGTTTTGAAATTAGTACAATATGCTACCTTAATTTATAAAAAAGAGCTTAAAATGTTGGTATCACTTTGAGTTTTAACGAGTTTTGATTGATATATGACAGAAAACTCAATTTGATGTTGCAGTTATATCAAATATCTATACAAACATCTTTTTTGTGAATGAATTGTTACATGTGTGTTCTAAAAGATATATTTTTGATGTTAATATGAAATGGTAAATCAACACGGCAGTTTTTTTTTTTTTTTTTTGAGAAATAGCCTAAACTTCATAGAAAAACTACTATATTAAAACCTTATTATTCTGCATACATTCATAAAAAAATTGTCAACTGTGAAGATAACTTTCCTAATAATAATTATTCTCGTCAGCCATTTTGTATACAAATATAATTATTGGTTTTTGCTTTTAATAATGAATGGTTAACGGATATATCCGATTTCGAAATGCAAATTGAAACAAAACATACGATACTATTTTTCCGCTCAGTTAATTGAGTATTTAACGACTCTTACACCTCCAAAGACCTATGGTTTAACAGCATTTGTCCTTCTACATAACTGTCATTATGTAGATTTCGATCATCATAAGTTGACGTTGAAATACGAGAGCTTTGTATTCAGACTGAACACATATCATTTTTACAAGACAAAAAACATATATAAGAAAACAGAAAGTCATTTTTCATAAATATCAATAAATAAATATTTCATAAACATATATTGATGTTATGCCGAATACAGATACAATGATGGTTTGAATTGGAGAATCAATTAATAAGAATAAAGAAAAATAAATAATATGTATTACAATAATGATCAATATTGTTTATTTTCCAATAAAATAAATAACGGATATTTTGTACTGTATACTAATTAAGGGTGGTTTCATTCACCTTTACGATGACTGGCCGTTTTAAATGGTTGTGTAGAATATATTTGATAATATTATTATCTAAATATATCTGCAATCTTATTGGTCCAAAGCAGTAGTGATCATAACATTTTATAAATAATATTCACTGGGTGTTATATCATAATCACTAGCTGAATTGGAATTTCCAAAACTTAACCTTAAATTAGAAAGAGACTCGTATGTAATTATCATACAGCGTAAATTGAGCGTGCACATACACGAATAACAGAACAAAACAGAACGGATACTTTATTTTTGACTTGTACAATCATACATCGTCATACATATATCAACAATTTTACAATACATACTAACATAAATCACAAGATCGGATCTAAACATGTCTCTTTCATATCAATATAGAGAATGAATTATTGATATATCAAGTTGTTTCTACTATATCTAAATTATTTCTATGAGACATCGCATCTCGTACATACAAGGATAAATTTAAAAGTATACTATTATTGTTTGTGTCATGTGGTCGATAATCGTGTTTTGAATATCGTTTTTATGTATCATTTTGTCCTTGTATTTGTATATATATATATATATATATATATCTCGAATTTGTTTACAGTCCGATATACAATCCATTATCCCATATCATTCCTATATCCTATATCATTCCATTTCATCATCTCATTATAACAACTAATTTCTCATATTTCATTTTGAAATAATTTGCCTGCCGGGCCTCAGTTTTTACAAACTTCCCGGAAAATCCACCTCACGCATGCGCACTTGAATATAAATATTTTCTTGGTTTGCGCCAGAAATTGTTGTCTTGTTTTTTCATTTATTTATTTATCAAGGCGTATGGTTATGTCCTTACAGGCATAGACAGACCATTCCTACATTTGAAAAGGACCATACGACATTTGATTTTAACATATCAGTGAATTTAAGCATACTAGGTCTTATATAATAGTATATTTTTATATATTTTTTTCTTATATCAATATGGACAAATTAAAATTAAATGGTATTCATCTTCGACGTCATGTAGATAACAATATAAACAATATCTTTCATTTCTAACAATTCTATTTCTATGAAACCTACCAGTTTGCACATGTAATGAATGCGAAGATATTCTAATTCTTGTAAGATACTTCCTTAAAGTACTTGGTATTATATCAAGATAATTTTCATATACAAAAGAATCTTTAACATGATTATACAGATACGAAACAGGTCTGCTCTCTTTACCAAAAAGCCAACTTTGTAAAAAACAATCAATTAACCTTTGCTTAAATATTGGTAAAATATTTTACTATTTACGGAATCTGGAAAATCCAAAATATCACTAAAACCATGATTACATAATAACAATTTAAGATTTGATAACCAATTTGTCTTACCATTATTACAGTCTTCAAGAGCAATGCTATATACATTTTTTAAAATGATATTATCTGTCTCAAGCATTTAAAACCAGAATCTTAAAATCTTAACATATCTTGAAATATATAAAGGATAACGTGCTAGTTCACCATACACAGCAACACTACATGAATTAACTTTTACATTTAATATTTTTTTACAAAATTTAAGATGAAGTCTTTCAATTTCCTTTGATTTAGTAAAACCCCAGATTTCAGCAGCGTAATTTAAAATTGAACCAACAAAAAAGTCAAAAAGCTGACATAACACTTTAGGTTTTAACTGATATCTATTACAATTAATCAATAGTACATTTAGAGCTTTATGAGCTTTACCAATCAAATGCTCTTGATTTAAACTAAAACTACCAGACTAGTATAAGTTAATATTGTTCCTAAGTAATTGAAGCTATCGACAATATCTAAATGTTTCCCATCGTAATAAAATAATTCATTGTTTTTTAAACCTCCACGTCTTCTGAAAACAACAACTTTGGTTTTATCAATATTTACTTCTAAACTCAATTTTTTACAATAATCATTCAATAACGTCAAACTTCTATTTATATCATCTGGTGTATTTCCTACAATTACCATATCATCAGCGAACAGTAACAAAATCAAAACAACACGTTTAAAGTCAAACCACTATTTATATCCCTTTGTAAAAATAATTCAAAGTCATTTAAAAAGAGGGAAAATAAAATCGGTGAAATTACCTCCCCTTGGCGTAGACCTACAGCATAATTAAAGAATTCTGAATAACTATTACATAACCTTTCAAACGATTTTACTTTATATTAATGTTATTTTTATGGAACATAGTAACACAGCAAGGATGAGTATAAAATCAATTGCGTTTGTTTGCATAGCTTTCGGGAGATTGTTATACATCTGACGTCATATTGTTTACGTGCGTCTTTTATCCACGCTACAATGAAAACATGATAATTCTGTGTTTGTTTTTCTTTAAAACGCTTTAATTTTTGTGTTCTTTTTTTAAGTTAGCCTTTTCATATCATGAAACAATGCTGACAAGTGAGCAACGGTCAATATGTCAAATTCCGTTGAATATTGCATCGAATAAATGCAATGGCACACTAGTCAGTAAATTAGTTAATTAAGATTTCTTCATGTGAGCATTTAATAATAAACTTACAGTATCAGTGGCTTACAAAATAATTTTTTCCTCAAGTCTCTTCCATTAATAAAGCATTGACAGCATTGTTATTAATCAATTTTGAACTACTTTTATGACAGTATCAAAGATTGTTAACAATAAAGATGAAATATAAGTGATATGTTATCAAAAAGGTATGTTTGTATATACAAATAACAATTGATATAAAAAGGATATACAATATGTCAAGTTATTTTAAGATGTTCTATTTATGAATGCTACTTTATATTTTATGACTTACAGGTACGGTGTTGTTACAAAATTATGGAAGTTTCTGGTAAAAGAGTGACGAAAGACAAAAATGCGAAACTGTGTAGTTTCTGTGAAGATTATGATATAACAACTTATGCCGATGGATTTTGCGTAGAATGTGAAGTTAACATTTGCAATTCATGTTTTGTGAAACACAAAGAACGTAAAAATAATAGAAATCATTCCTTAGTAAAAGTAGATGAATCGAAAGCAATAAAGGTAAGGGTTGACGATACGAATGAAACATGCCAAGAGCACAATGGAGAATTTGTGAAAATCTATTGTCCAAATCACGACCAAGTTGGCTGTGCAGAATGCATCATTGTATACCATAATGGATGCAAGCTGGAACTCATTCGTGACAAAGCTGCTGCATATGATAACAGTCGAGAATTTAGAAATCTTAGAAAGGAGATGAATAAATGCATGACAGAGGCTGAATACAGTCTATCATTGATAGAGCGCAACCGAAAACAGCTTACAGAGTTCTATGAGCAATTTGTTAGCGATGTGGATGCATTCACAGATCATGTAATTGAACGTATAAATAAAATGAAAAAGAAGGTTTTGAATCAGGCAAAGGACATTATGTTGAATGACAAGGGGAAAATGGAAGAATTACAGAAGGATATCGACGGCTTAATAGCTGAATTGACACGCCAAAACATTGAACTGGAGTCAAAAAGTGGCACTCCCAATAACCTCTTTGTAGCATCCCAATTAATAAAAAGAAGACTGAAAAAGACCCAGCAAAATTTTGAGAACTTAAGGTACAAAAACCATGTGACTCAGTATAAGTTCATGCAAGACGAAATTCTAACTGAATCAGTAACAGAAAACAGGGTAATTGGAATGCTCATTGAACAGTCGTTTAAACGGAGTAAGTTTTTCGTTTACCCATAAATGTTTTTTTATGATGCATATCATATTAATAAGAAAAAGATAAAAAAAACTAAATGCGCAACTGTTGCGAAAGATCATCACTTTAACATACGTTCGAAATCGTTTAAATATCATTTGGTACCTGTAACGATTTTCTTTATTTGAACTTGAACAATTGCCTCGATTTTGTAGTTAAGTTTAATGCTACACGTTGTTCAGCTATTTTCGTTGATTTACGAGATTATTGTAGTGTTATAAAAGTATTTATATTAAAGTAAAAAAAATTATACATTTTAGGTGAACATCATCTACATGAATTTAAACAAGCTAATTCAGCTGAAGAAGGACATGTTCCTTTACCTCAGGTCAGTCGATTTATTAAAAAACTTCCTTTGAGGTGTACGGTTCCTTTTGTATGTCAAGAGTATTTTTATCTAATCTTGAGATGTATTAAAATAGAGAAAGAAGTGGTAGAGACATGTACAAGAGAACATACGATTGTGACTATAGCGCCCCAAAAGCTTCAAGTGAGTTATTTATCTTAAATGTTAAAGGCAGAAAATGTGCTTGATGAAATTAAGTAACATCTAAAACTGTTTTGTTTTGATTAAAGTATAATTACACATTTTTACGGTAATGAAACAATAACGAATACCAACCTTTTAATTTTGTGATAAATAAATGCAATAATATTAACATTTTTATGCGTTTAATTTTGTATTATGTTGTTGGGAATTTCGGCATCATCTATTAAAGGTATTGTTAGCTCCCCTACCAATAAGTCTACGATCATAAGGGTAGGTTGTATTTATTTATCACATTTAAACTACTGAACAATTTATAAATCAGGCAAACATTGAGATTATGTTGGTCGATTAAAAGAGTCATTATAACATTTATGAATGTCCGTTAAATAAGATGTTTAAAACAATGTTCATATATTGCAAAATGCAGCATTTAGATACAATGAAAGTTAGCCTCAGCTCATATACAAGTTGTAACCTGAGACCGCCTCTTCGAAATACTAGGTATTTTTTGGTCTGTTTCAGTCCAACGGATGTTTGCTATGAACATAATGATTCTAATAGTGTTTGGAATAGTTTATGATGAAGTGACCATTTAAATATGAAATTTTGATTGATTATGATTTTCGTGTCTCTGTGGTAACAAATAAAAACATACAATTACGATTACTTTGCTCCAAAAATAGTATTGAGTTATTTACTTCTGGGTTTTCGGCATAAAGTTGTTAAACTTATTTCAATAAATGCTTCATAACTTAAGACACATATTTCAAGATGATATGCTAGGTATAAATTGGCATAAATGCTACAGATATGCTAGGTGCTACAAGACCCCGACTATCTTTGTCAGTTGGATATTTTATTTTATTGTACTATCATGGCCAACCTTTACTTGTTATATTACAAGAGGTTATCAGAATTGCTATAAATTTTGTTGAACAAAAACATTTTAGGTTCAACTAGAAAATAGTCATTTGCCAAATACATTGATCCACTTTTACTTCTTTTGATTTGTTATCATTTTTCACCACGTGTACCATTTTGAAATTCTTCCAAAATATGTATATTAGATACATATGCGTTAAAAGATGATACGATTGATTTCAAATGTTTCCTTTTTAGCTCACCTGAGCATATGCTCAGGGTGAGCTATTAGGATCACTCTTCGTCCGTCGTCCGTCGTACGTCGTCCGTCGTCCGTCGTCCGTCGTCCGTCGTACGTTGTCCGTTCACACTTTTCAAACGACATCTCCTCTGAAACCATAAGGCAGATCATAATGAAACTTCACAGGGATGTTCCTTGTGTGAAGCCTTACCAAAGTTGTTCAAAGAATTCCATTCCATGCAGAACTCTGGTTGCCATGGCAACCAAAAGAAAAAACTTTAAACATCTTCTTCTAGAAAACCCAAACAGCTAGAGCTTAGATATTTGGCATGAAACATCTTCTAGTGAGTGTCTACCAAGATTGTTCAAATAAAATCCCTAGGGTCAAAATTGGCCCCGCCCCAGGGGGTCATTGATTTTCCCTATATGCATATAGTAAAAACTTGAAAAAATCTTCTTTTAAAGAACTCAAAGAGCTAGAGCTAAGATATTAAGCATGAAACATCTTTCTAATGAGTGTCTACCAAGATTATTCAAATAAAAGCCCTGGGTCAAAATTGGCCCGTCCCAGGGGGTCATTGATTTTCCCTATATGCATATAGTAAAAATTTAAAAATCTTCTTCTAAAAAACCGAAAGAGCTAGAGCTTAGATATTTGGCATGAAACATGTTCTAATGGATGTCTACCAAGTTTGTTCAAATAAAAGCCCTGGGGTCAAAATTGGCCCCGCCCCTGGGGGTCATTGACTTTCCCTATATGCATATACTAAAAACTTAAAAAAAAATCTTTTAAAGAACCCAAAGAGCTAGAACTAAGATATTTAGCATGAGACATCTTCTAATCGGTGTCTACCAAGATTGTTCAAATAAAAGCCCTGGGTCAAAATTGGCCCCGCCCCAGGGGGTCATTGATTTTCCCTATATGCATATAGTAAAAACTTAAAAAAATCTTCTTTTAAAGAACCCAAAGAGCTAGACCTAAGATATTAAGCATGAAACATCTTCTAATGAGTGTCTACCAAGATTGTTCAAATAAAAGCCCTGGGGTCAAAATTGGCCTTCGCCCCAGGGGGTCATTGATTTTCCTTATATGCATATAGTAAAAACTTAAAAAAATCTTCTTCTAAAAAACCCAAAGAGCTAGAGCTTAGATATTTGGCATTTAATATGTTCTAATGGATGTCTACCAAGTTTGTTCAAATAAAAGCCCTGGGGTCAAAATTTGCCTGCCCCAGGGGGTCATTGATTTTCCCTATATGCATATAGTAAAACTTAAAAAAATCTTCTTTTAAAGAACCAAAAGAGCTAGACCTAAGATATTAAGCATGAAACATGTTCTAATAAGTGTCTACCAAGATTGTTCAAATAAAAGCCCTGGGGTCAAAATTGGCCCCGCCCCAGGGGGTCATTGATTTTTCCTATATGCATATAGTAAAAACTTTAAAAAGTCTTCTTCTAAAAAACCCAAAGAACTAGAGCTTAGATATTTGGCATAAAACATGTTCTAATGGATGTTTACCAAGTTTGTTCAAATAAAAGCCCTTGGGTCAAAATTGGCCCTGCCAGGGAGAGGGGGGAGGGGGCAAAAGTCATTGTTATTCATTATTTGTGTATAGTAAAAACTTAACATCATGAAATATCTTTTAATGGGTGTCTTCCAAGTTTGTTCAAATAAAAGCCCTTTGGTTTAAACTGGCCCGGCCCTGGGGGCCTATGTTCAGGTGAGCGACCCCAGGGCCATCATGACCGTCTTGTTTATTAATTGATTTATCGATGCATAAAAGCATGTGCCAAGCCATTGAGGCAACAGAATTATAATTTTTGTTAAGATAAATTTTATGTTACTCCAATCCAAAATGTATATCCGATATATATTTACAGTTAAAATTAATATCAAAAAGTAGAATTAATAACAATCATGTTGAGGTGTAATATACCGAATAACATGCGTTAACTAAAACTATTACTGTAACACATAATTACCAATACCATTTTAAAAGTGCAAATAAGAAACATTCTAATTCAGTTATTTAAAAAATGATATTATTATGACTTACGCAACTTTACATTTTAAACACACCATGTATATTTTATATCACGTGTTTTGTGGCGAACCTACGTGTACTGTACGACATTGCATTAACTTTAACTGCAACACTTAAATAATTTGGTAAAAACAAAAGGGATTGTTTGATCATTAGATGGAATAATCTTAGAAGTTAAATGCATAATGCTTTTGAAAAGTATTACATATAGTATTAAACCACATCTCTTCTTATGTTTTGACCTGCTAAAAAATGTTAAATATGAACAAACAACCATCCATGTTAACCATTATCAGAAAATGCTGGGGTCTTTTAAACGCTAGCCACTTTTGGCGAAAAAGAAGTGATGTATCGTCGTAAAAATCTATGAATGTAAGATGTTCCTTCAAACAAGTTTTCATACAAAGAGCGCATATTCTGTCTGCATATAACAACATTAAATTGACACGGATCTGGTGTCTGATAAACAACACCAAAAGAGCGAATGGGTAGTTACGTGAGGATTCAATTAAATGTATGTTTTATTCAAATGTTGCTTATCTTAGATAACGCAAAAGGTTAGTTGTTTATTAATAAAATGATGTCACATGTATAATTTTCTTTGTTTAAATATAGATGTAGCAGTAGTTCATTAAAGTTTCGTTAACGAATTAATTGTGTTTTTCATTTGCAGCCATTACTCGACAGACAACTGGTTTGCAAAAATCTAAATATAGATGGCGAATGTCTAAGGTATGTATGTATACCACTTAAATGTATTTGATGACATTTTTTTCAAATCAATTATATATATGTTACAACGTACTCTTCAACAAATGCAAATAACACTTTAAGGACTTTATTTAACATGAAATATTACTGAAATCTGACACAGTTATTTATGTTTTGATTTAGAAATTGTGTAAAATTATTTTTAAAAAGTGATATAAAAATGTATATTACATATATGGCTAATTTTATAAACTCACAAAAAGTAATAAAGCGATACCGTTTTTAAATTTATATATCCATTTGTTTTTCTTATAAAACATGCATATGAAAAATATAGACACACGGTATTGCTTAAAATACTATGTTTATGTTTGCATTGCAAATTAGGTAAAATCAACGTGAATTAAAATAAGATTATCATCAGAACTTTATATAAACGTTTAAAATAACTAACGTTTGCATCACATAAAAATAGATACTAAATAAGTAATGATATTTGCTGTACCAGCGAATATGCATGGTTTTAAACACAATAAAAAAAACAAAAAACCACTAACAATCAGAATGATAAACAGTGATTTGCAAATGTTTGCGAGTGATATGTGTGTTTTCACATTTTTTACAGTTTTACGGCATATCAAAGTTCTGGCGTTGGATTGTATGTGTTCAAGGAGAATGTGCGAAGTGGATCATTCTTTGAAATTGAGATATTAAGCATGGGTAAAAGCGGATCATTAGGTAATATAAATATCATTATTGTATATATATTCACCTTGCTTGTGAAGTCAGTTTGTTGACATTTGAAAAGTAATTTCAATATTGCTCGTATCAATCAACGATAACGTCATTACGCTTTTTGCTAGAACGAAATTAAAACTCTTGTTACATCCATTTTGGTGTTCAATGAATTATCGACATTTATCTAAAATGTTACAAAACTACATGTCTTGCATTGCCATGTCCAACCGTTTCCTTTTAATTCAAATATGGTTCATGATTCATACAAATGTATTACCATAAATGAAAAGTTTGGTAAGTTTTTTGTTGTTGTTGTTTTTTTTTTTGTTGTTGTTTTTTTTACTTTCTTAATTAATGTTGAAAAAACATGTTGATTTATTTCCGTCACAATAAGTTGTTAGAAAAGTAAAATAGAACGTGTAGTAAATTTTATTCTAGCTATTGGTTTAGTGCCGGACGGCTATCCAGATAATCTTCTACCGGGATTAGGCCACAATTCGTTTGGATACCATTCAGACGGCAAGTATGTATAGACAGCTTAACTATTTAGTAATTTATTGAGTTGTTCAGTCTTACTGTGGACTTGTATGATCGAAAGAAAAAAAAGTAATATAAATATATACAATAATTAGCCTACAACTGAGTGAGTTATATCAGCATTTTTTCAAATCAAAAAGGTTAAAAAAAATTGTTTTTCTTTCGTTAGCCTTTAAGAAATGTATATGTATTAAATGAAATACATTGACAAAATTAACATTATTTGGTAAACTACAGTTAAGACTTTAAATGCTGGAAAGATTGTTGTCAGTTTCCCTCATGAAAAGATATTAAAGTTTAATTTTGCTTGCATAAGCTTTTTGCAGACTAAGGGTTAAATGTGTCGCGTGAGATTTATCCTAGCTACATTCTCTAGTTTCTCCAGATGTAAAAATTATATTATGTGAACTATGTTTCTCCACCATTCGGTATTGTCCTCAAATATGAATATGCAAGTGTTTGTATTCAATGAATATTCATTATTATAATAGTATGATAATAGATTCAAACAGTTAGTATGATATATGATAAAACTTACTGCTGACAATAAATTACAATTATGTTTCATGAAAATAATGTTCCGTCATCCTCCGGTTAATATAACGAACTAACGTTGTGCAAAGCGTAAAATAAACGGATATATTTTGTTTCCAAGAAATTTAAGTAAAATAAAATCAATTTAATGTCTTATCCTTTAACAAACGTTTTCTGTTATAAAAAAAATGTTGTTTTTTTTCTTTATTTTAGAAATGTTGTTCATGTTTTTCTCTTTTATTAACTGTGCATCATTGCCAAAATAGTAAAATTACATCAAATATATAATTTACTGTTATATGAATGTCAGTCATTATATCGCATTTATCAATAAGAACGTTTTTATGATGGCTTTTTGTAGATACAAAAAAAAGTTCTGCAAACAAGCGACATTGTACTAAGAAATGCTTGATTTAATGTCTTAATTTTAACAAACAATTTTTGGTAAAAAAGCTGCAATCTCGATATATTACATCATAACAGCGACTCGTATGTTTATGTCCATTATTGAATAGGAATATGATCTTATTGCTTTATGACAATAAACAACTTTTTAAAGATTACTTCGATTTGATTCGAATATCTCAGTAAATTATGTTTGATATGATATATGAATGCTATACTTTACCATGAATATTATGAATTATATACATGCGGTGAGTTTGTTTTTTATTACACAACTTTGCAAATGAATAAGCGATTTCATTGCTGTACATTTAGTTGCTAAATCTAGCAATATGAAAGAAGCGATGCTTCTGCAATAATGTAGACAGAACCGTTACAATCAAGAATAATAAATATTAAAGAACTGCACTTAAATTGTTTGACATGTTTGACATGATTTGATTGTTCGATAATACTGTTTTTATGTAGGTTTACACCAATAAGTTGTGTGCAAAATTGCAGATAGTTTCCTTGCTCCGTTTTTTCAAGAATATAAATTCCTATTATAAAATTACCAAAAATTGAAAAAGGTTGCAACACTTCACACTCAAAGCGGCACAAGTACGATTTTCAATTTAATTCTGAGAATATACCTAAATTGTTTTGCCTATCTTACTTTGTCGAAGCCATTCTATGTAAGAAATTGAGATATACTGTTTTAAGATTCTGGGACCGAACAGGGGTTCCTTTAATATGATTTAAGGTATTTATTGCATTGATGTATCAATATATTTTACTATCCACTCATAGCAGATGGTAAGAATGTCCACGTTCAGATTAAAATACATCATGCGTTTGTATTTTGCATGTTTGGTGCATATTCAGTAAGTGTCATACGATGTTGATGACATTTTTAAGGATATGTTTTATTTTGTTAAGTATAATTTTCGGGTCACAATATCCCTATCTTGTCAAAATTGTGTTATCAAAAACATTTTTATTTTGTTACGGCGTCTGTAATAACATCTGAAATGAATAGAATATTTATCCACGATTAAATGAGAATGCAATTGAACAAGAACGAATAACATAGTAACTACACAATTGTTTAGCATCCAATCAAATACATACAACAATTACTTGAAAATAATGTACAATCAATATCAAAGTATGAACATAAATGATTGTAGTTTTGTCAAACTTTATTCTCCATTAATAGAGTATTTTGTTTCATTTATTAGAAAATCCTCGTGTTATTGTGTGTTTATTTTTTTTTATTTTTTTTTTGGCACAAAATAATGAGCTAAATTGACAAATAATAACACACTGAACTAACTAATAACAAAAATGTATTTTAATTCAGTATCAATGAAAAATATTATGAAAAAAAAAAAAAACGAAAAATTATACTTTCCTGCTTTGAGATAAGAGTCTACATTTGACAAAGCTGTATTATGTTTGCTACAAACAGAAATTGATTAAAATGACTTTAAATTTTGTGAAAAATATACAATATTTGTTTGTTTAAACATGTTATCTTTACTTTATTTTTGAGAATTCATACAGGAGGCAATTACGGTCTAAAACGTGGAGATGCATGGACAGTCGGCGATCGAATCCAGTGCACATTTGCTGTGTAAGTATTTAGTTTTTTATGCGTTGTTCGTTTCTAATGATTTGCTTCATAAAGATTTAAACAGAAAATTTATTTTGTAATTTTTAGCATAAAAAATTGCCGTCAAACGTTTAAAGTGAAAGTTAGAAATTATCAAAACGGTATGATATGCTATTTCTTATACAGAGTTTATGTTTGTTTATACTCTTGTCAAATACGGAAAAAACATCAATCAACACTCCAATGGTTAATTCAAAGTTTATAAATATAACATATTTTAAGATGTAAAGAGATTTATAAAAAGTAAAAATGGTATTGTATTTTTCCCGGAATTAAAATATGTGTCATATTGAAATCACACAGTATTCAATGTTAACCGTATTGTATTGAATGTATCGTTTGTTAAATAGTTGACTTTAAACATGCAACAAAATGATACAAACTTTGCAAATTACTTAAGTATTTTCATCAAATTAAAATAAGTTCTTTATTTTACCGTATGTATACCGTTCGTATACGCTAGTCCCATTAGTAGCTTAGTAGCAGAAACCATCATTTGTTGTTGTTATTCTTTTATAAAAATTTCTGCTTTATTATTTATCACACACTTGTTGTTGACATTGCGATCCAAAAGACTTACCATTGAAGTATGTGTATTGGCTGGATTCAGAAGAAAACAGCACGGCAAGACACATGTGAAAATACGAAACATATGATTCACTTCAGTACCTTTTTTTTCATTGTTAAAGTAAAGAAAACAAAAAATACGCGCATTTAATTTCATCAATATTTTAGTTATAAGTATAGAATAATTACCCTATCTCCTTTTCGTAAATATTAGACACATAGATGCTTTCAACACGCAAGCTTGCTGGGCTGGTATTTAAAGTCCGATGGTTTCTGCAGTTGTAATGTTATGAATAAAAGCGCTATGCTTGCATACACATGTAACCCAGATTCGGAAAATACGCATTTAGCTACTTGTTTTTCGTATACAAATAATGACATAATTATTTCGTGCGAGTGCCATGTCATTTTGATACTTTTTATTTGATGATAAATCATCATTGAAGCCACATGTATAAACATGGTGCCCCGTGACGCACCTATTAAAACGTAAAACATCAGAGAGTGCTCGCGTGATGGTATGCGGTTATGCATTTATTTTTCTCCGTTTATCTATACCTGCATTAGATGTGTGATGTCTCTCACGCTTACTTGCACTAACTTAAGTTGTCCCATTTTTTTTCAACCATATCTTTTACAAAGTATCACATTATCAAATAGTGTCTCTCACAACGCGTAAAATCGAAACAATATACCAAGATTATCGTGACAACAATGCTAACGGAAACTAATTTAATAGAAACGTGCTACAAATTACCTAAATACGTTTGATCTAATATGATATATTAAACTACCGGAATGTCTCAAAGCATCGGAAACATTTGTAAAAATAGTTTACAACTATTAAGGATACAAACATAGTTCTGCACTAATCTGCTGAAAACATGCATCACAAAGTTAAGTAAGTAAGTTGAAAATTCCGAGGGTAAAATTCTGTAGATGCATGTCACTTCTGTATTGTCTAACAGTATTAAACATATGTAGATTATATTACATGCTTGATGTTTATTGTACATAAGGGGTTTCTTACTACATTTACGGTTAAAACGTTGTTTATACAATGCACTTCATTAACGCAATGACCGATGTGTTTGAAGTTAAATCATGAACGGATTCTTTACAATTTTTTTTTGTTTATTTTCATTAATTGTGCGTATGTATAATGTCAAAATTTATTATGCTTATATAAACTGACTATCAAAAAAGCTTTGTAAAAGTACATATTTAAATGAACTATTTTCCTAGACAAATTATCAATATTTTAATGGTATTGTGTTTTGTTTAACACTATGTATAATGATTGATTGAAACTTTTTTTTATTGTATTTGAAGATAAAATATACCATTATTTTAAAAGAAAACACTCAACATAAGAGTTCATGTTATCAATCAATCACAAATATCGATTGTGTATGTGTGTTTGTAACTAAGTCGCAATCTAAAACTATATTGTAAGTTATGTTTAATATTACAATGATATACTAGAGCACATGAAAGTTAAAACTTTCAATCAAGGGCATATATCATTCTTAATTTGAGTGTACTGTAATAAAATGATCAAAATAGGTAGCTTTATTTAACTTTTGTGTGTGTATGTTTACCTAGAAATAATGTGCTGGAACAGACACACAATGTATAACAGTGTATAAAAGCTACCAACACATGACAGAAAAATATGGAACAACATATTAAAACTGTAGATATTATATATTGCAGATATTACGTGGTATACCGACAATTCTGAACTGATTTTATACATGTTACTTTACCTGAATAACTACGTATGAAAGACATTAAATTCATAAATACCTGTTTGATTTTGTTACAATATTGTATTAATTGACTTTGTTTTATTGTTACAATATAATTATAGATACAGTAATTAATATACAAATCTGACTATTGGTTGGCTCGTGCTGGAAAGAAACATGCAGTACTAGCTTTTTTGAAGTGTTTTTTTTTTGTGTCAAACACTTGTGACCGGAAATTCGAAAAAGTTGTTGTTTTTTTACTAAACATGCATATATGTCTCAAGACGGTGACATCTTTTTTGAGGTATCTATTTTTAATAACTTGACTTTTTTATTTGGTATTGCATTGCAAGTCTACTTAAATTGATCGTGTTTTACTGGAAGCATCTTGTCTACATTGTCAATAATACATGAAAAACGAATGTCAATCTATACCAAATTGACAATGAAAGAATTATATGATAATCAGTTCAAAATACACACCGACATATCACTTTCTGTTTAAGGGATTCAAAGTTATCTTATTCGATAAAGGGATAAACATGCAACTTAAGCCGATTGCGTATTCCGTCATTGTCTTATTAATCATACATATTTTTACATTTAAAATGAATGACGCAAAACATTTTCTGCGGATGTTGTTCTGTAAACCACATTACATTACTCTTTTCAAAACTGTAAATAAGTATTGTGAGATATCGTATAAAACTATTCAAAACGCGCAAAGAATATAACAATATTTGCTTTCAATTTTTTAAAATTCATTTTTCATATATATAACATATATTTTTTTTCTGACAAATCTCTAACTGTTTTTATTACAATAGCACTTCAATCAACTCACAATGCAAATGCTCATAGGTCAAAGTTTGTTACTGTAAAAGAGGTTATGCTCTATGCAACTTAGAAGGAATTTGTTTTACTAAATGTGATTTTATTATAATAGCTCACAACTCCCAATGCAAATGCTTATGGGTCAAAGTTTGTTACTGTAACAGAGGTAATGTTCTATAAATTTTTTGGAAGGCATTTGTTTTATTTAATTTGAATTTTATTTCTAATCAGCAAATAACGAGAATCAAAGTTTTTAGTATGTTCAGCAGGTAGCATAGAATTACCCATTTCCAGCAACATGTATATCAAAAGGTATAGGATCAGGTATTTTTGAAGGTTGTCATTTTGATTAATAAAAACAACATCAACACTGTAATATATAATCTAAGCAAGATTTCGTCTTGCAGTAAGCAGATCTATATAATTTTATAAAACAACCGAAACTCATTAATAGTTAGAATATGTTATAGCGATCATTAAAATCACATGATAGCTATCTATCTTAAAATAATTCACTTTGCTTTTACCTATCATCTTATACTAGGTTATCAAGCATTTAATAGTTTTCTCCTGTTGAAAATATCACGATTTCCTTTATGTTTTTTGCTTATCTTTCCACATTTGTATACCAAACATCTAAGGTAATAATTGCATTGTTATTCATACACCATTATTATTCTGTGTTTAACATCACCACTTTTCAAAACTTTAATAGTTCAATACAAAAATGTTTTGATGGAATTTACAATTTAACTGAGTGTACATATCATGTATTGTTTTCATAATACATTATTTTTAAACGCACATACTTGCAAAACTGTAGTAAATGATAAGCCAACGAATATGATCTCATGAACAGAAATTTATATTCGCAAAACGTTTGCAGCTATTTTATTAATACGAAAAATGATAGTAAGGGTTTTTCGTTTCTATAAGTCTGTCACGTGTTTTATTTTATATTTTATTCATTCTACATTAAACGTGTTAAGAAAGCCAACTTCGATGTGGGGAGGGTTGTTTGAAAAGTCCGATGGTTCTGCAGTTATTTTTTTATATTATTACGAATGAAAGGTGCATAAGCGCTATTTTGCATGCAAATTTAACTCTGGCTCGGACAATTTTTATTTTACATTTTTTAAAGGGATATTCAGGCAAAATAATGACAAAAATATTAAAATGATCTTATGTACTCAAATCATGCTAAAATGACAATTCTTGAAGTTTCAGCATGAATGTCAATTTAAATACTAAATATTTTGGGTGTGAAGCGTAAATATATCTATATATGTTGAACACAATTTAGACCCAAATAGAATCACAGAGTAGTTTTAAGACAAGTCTCGTGACTTGAACAAACCCTTGAAGTTACAGTAACACATATTATGGATATTGTATAATGATTGAAACAAGTCTAAGTCATTCATTTGACATGTTCTTTAACGTTTCCAGAGTTCACTTTGACAGCTATTGTGAAATCCTTGTGCTCTAACCTGACCCACGCGGGTCAAGTTAGAAAACCACTATTTTATTCTTTATATTGAGAAAAGTTTTGTTCTTTGACTGTCTAATATATTCATTTTGAGGGCATTTACAGAATAATGACTGAAAAACAAAACTCAAAACAAAGAAATGAAATTTTTGCCTGTGTCTCCCTTTAATTGTTTTTATTTTCTTTCCGTATACAAAAACTTGATTATTTTTTTCCTGTGCAAGTGGAATGTTATTTGATAGTTTTAATTTGATAATGAAATTACCGGGACCATCACTCTAGCTACCTATAAAAATACGTAAAATATCATGCGTGTTCACATGATTATATGCGTAAATG